AGGTGGATTTACCTCTGCCTCAGCAGCACCAAACCCATTGCTCAGCCATTGTGTATCTCTTGCTTGTCATGGAGAACCTTAAGTGCAGCGTGAGAAACGAATTGTGGCTTATGCTGGGAGCCTGAAGTGATGCAGCTATGAAGGATGCAGGGAAAGGCTCTTGCTGCTCTCTCTCTTCTGCCCACTGTGGTTAGCAATGAAGATTTAGGTTGCTTTGCTGTGGAGCAAGGATCCAGGAAATCTCGTTGATAGGGCACCTACAGCAACAGGGTGACAGGGACGTGTCAATAGTGATCTGAGTTCCCACCTGTGTGCCACACCATGGTGTGCTGGTAGCCACACCTGTCTCACAGCTGGGGAGTTGCTGGTTTGAAAGAGTTTATTATTAAGATTCAGCTTAAATATCCAGCAGTCACAGTTTGGAGCATTCTTCAGAGATCTTTAGGTCAGCATGCTCTCTGATACCTGCCTCTTGTCCAGGAAGAGGCTAAGTGGACCTCTGTTCAAAGCTAAAATACCAGCAACAGGCATGACTTTTAGCTAGGTTCATCTGTGGGCTGCTGGAGGACACAGCTGGGGGCAGCAGTCTCATGGTTGGGCTGGAGCTGTCACTGTACATATTGATACTTCATTATGATGTGCTGGATGGGAAGGATGCTGAGAGGGTGGGAGACAATCTGACCTTTTTGTATTTTCAACATCAATAAAATCCTGTCAGCCTTTTACGATTCCTCAGCCAAGTTCTCCTTTTCAGAGCAGCCCATTCCTCTTTCTTTACGTCTGTTCCAGGCGCCATGCATAGCACTGGACTTGGTAAATGCTACTCTCATCCCTGGTCCTCAAATCAGAAGTGACAACACAAAGTTGTTTGAGTTCAATCACCACTCTGTTTGCAGATCGAAGTACAGGGTTGCTGGCTGACCTTTTCTGATCCTGACTTCCAGAGCCAAGAAATCCAAATTTAAAATCTAGGCTGCTGTGAAACCGTACAAACAGAGGAAAGGGAATCCCAGCAGGAGTGCTTCAAGCTGGAAGATATTTTGCAGAGAGGAAAAGCAGCCTTGCCCAGTGGCAGAAGTCATGCCTTGCCCCATGCCACATAAAATGGCTGTGCTGTGAAGAGACAGCAAGAGGATGAGGGGCTGGAGAAGGACAGGGGCAGGGCAGGGAGCTTCCAGTGTGGCCCCTATGTGAGGAGCAGGTGACCTTCCTGCCCAGTCTTTACTGACCTTGTCTCTTCCCATCTTTGCAGCCCAGTCTGATGTCCACATACACTCAGCTGCCAGCACTTCTGCCCTCAGCAGCCTTGTTGCTGAGGAGACCATTAGGGTGCCTGAAGAGCACGTGGCTAAAACACTCTTTATCCCTGCAGTTGCTGATGTTGTCTCTAAGTAGACACCTCTTACCAGCTTACCTCAAACCCAGGAACACATCTAGCTGAGACTCAGAGTGAAGCTTTTAGTCTGGGCACACGTGATGCTGTCCACAGCTCTTCAGGCTTTTTTCTTGCCTGGTGCTGGGTTTTTTCTTAACAGCTCCTGACAGAGGGGAAAGGTGGGGGTGCTGCAGCCAGCCAGGAGCAATTGTCTTGCTTCTTTTGCCATACTGCTCCACCATGGCAGGAGAGGCAATAAAAAAACAAATGGCTATAGGAAGTTTTGCCACTGCTTTAGCAGTAACATCAGGTAAGGAAGAGAAAAGCACATCTGGTTTTCAGTGGAGAAAAAAAAAATATCATGTAGGAATTATATTTTATGAATCACCACAGTCAGTTCTGCTTTCCTGCCTTAGGGCTTGAAGCTGTGGGCTGCCCTGAGCCATATCATGTGTTTGGCACTGGATGGAGAAAAGTTTTAGGTTTCTTTGTATCAGCCAGTCATAGCCAGAGCCTTATCTACCCTGTCATGCTCAGCAGCTGTATCCAGAATGAGAATTAGGTGCTGGGCAGGAAAGAAGCTGTTCCAGGGAAGGAGAAAACACGGCTTCCCACTGTGCTGAGAGCTGTTGACTGGCACTGCCTGGTTTTCTTTCTGCTTCTGGCCTAGACGCTTCAGCTTCTCCCAGCAGCTTTCCTCTGTCCTTGCACCCTGTGCCACAGATTTCCCTGCACAACCCGTGAGGCTGGTGGCAGTTGTCTGTGTCTCCCAGAGGTGTCTGCTGCAGTAATGGAGAATTGAAACAACAGCACAGGTTTCCCTCTGCTATTTATTTTGCCATTAGAATCAGTCCAAACTCCTAATTTTCTTTCTGCTACACCATCAAATGCACCCCCCAGATCCCTTCCTAGACAATAATAATCCCCATTCCCAGGGCCACAATATCAACTGAGACTTTAGGCTTTGGTTCTCCCTCACCACTACCTGACCTCCAAATACACTCTACTTCCCCTCCTAATTCAGAGCATGTGATCTGCAGAATTCCCAGCTATTGAACCCACCAGCAACCTCCCTGGCTCTGAGGCTGCTGCTGTACTGTAAGAGGCAACCAAAACCAGCCAGAATGAGGCTCTGCCCCAAGCAAACAAACAGCTGAGAACCTGATTGTGTCTCACAGAGGAGCCACAGCAGAGGCAACAGCTCTGACAAGGCCTCCCAGCAAAGCTGCATGGATGTTACTAAGCAAATGACCTTTCTCTGGAGCAGTCACTTCACCCACACAATCGAGTGCAAAGCACACACTGCAATGTGTGTGAACATCAAGAATTTGTTCAGCTCTTCAGCAGCTGAAATAATTAATCTCCAACAGCTAAACTCATTTACTTCCTCCACCTCTGCCTTTCTAGCAGACTTCAAATCCAGCACAGCAATTATCTGTGCTGCTAAGGAAGCCCCATGAAGCATCTCTGGCAAACTTCTCACCCTTTCATCCACTTCCTTCGCTCACTCTGTGAGCAAAGATCTCGTCCATCACAGAAGGATACTTATAAAAATATGCCTTCTTCATGCATTGTGCCTGGCCAGCCTGGGGGAGCATCCCTGGGCAGGTCAGGGCCCTGGGGTGACCAGGTGAAGGAATCAGCAAGTTTTGATTAGGAAGATGATAACAGATGTAGGGCAAACAGCGTTCCTCTGGGCTTTTTTTATGAAATCTCTAAGAGGGGAAGAGAGCACATGGAAGAATTAAAATAATCAGCTGGCAACCTGCTAGTGCTGGTCATAGATTAGCAACCAGCAGCTAAACCCAAAAGCAAATAACCAGAATTCCCTTCCCAGGGCTGCCAGATTTACACACAGGGTCATAAGCAGGATGAGCTTCTCGGCACCTGGGTCTGGCACTTCCCAGTATGTCAGGCTCATGTCACACGTGCCAGGGAGATGCCAGACACCAGAATCAGCACACAGTTGGCAGGACTAAGTTACTCCACAGAGAAGAACTGATGCTTACCACTAGACGTGAAACCCTGACCTGGTCACACCTCTCCCATTTCATCTACCCTGTTCCAGATCTTGGAACAGCTGCACTCTATTGATGTGGCAAACCAGACCCCGCAGGGTTAAAGATGAGCTTGTCAGCCTGAGTGATAAAAAGTAGGATAGAAAATAAGAGAAAACAGTAATTAATTAAGGCAAGAAGCTGGGAGCAGAGACTGCAGAATGACAATCAGTCTGGAGGGAAGGCTGCGTGGAAAGCAGCAATCAAACTCCTTCAGTTTTAATTAAACCTGTCTCTCTATCAAGGATGTGACATCTTTGCTTCACCTCTGCTTTTGAGCTGAGAAACCAGTTGGAGCATGTAAACTGGTACTGGATAGACAGGAATTTCCTTCTGGCTCCAGAACCTTCCCAACCCAGGCTCAGCACCTGCCCTTCCTCCTCATGTGCTCCCCAAAATTGGCCTTAGCACCAGGCAGAACATAGTGAAGGGGTCCAGGGCTTGCAGCCACTTGTCATACTACATGCACCTTCTCCCCAAGATCTTCCCTATCCTCTCTGTCCTGTTTCATTTAGCCTTCACCCCAATGTGCAGCAGTCAGTCCCGATCTGACCTGCTCCATTTGCAATCTGGGACCAGGAAGAACAGGATCAGGGGTGAGCAACAGCCCAGCTGCTCCTAGGCAAGAACAGGCAGTGTCCAGCTGTGCCACGTCATTGCTCCTGACTGCTGTTCCCTTCTCCCTGCAATGTTTTTGGCTGTGGAGTGAGTCTTCACCTGAAGAAATGATGAGACCATGTGAGCTGGCCACCAGCCATGGCATAATGTGCAGAGGGTGACTGCAGAACTCATTGTTCCCAGGAAGGCACACTGGACACGTTTCTGAAGAGATCCGCTGTAGAGGAGTGGCAGCCACCACGAAAGGAGAGACGTGGAAAAATCAGAAATGGGGAGAGAGGCAAGGGAAGCTCAAAGTGCAGAAAGCAACATCAAGCATTTGAATGGAAAAAGAAAACTAATTCCCAGCACTGTTGGCCTTCCTCCTCGGTTAGCCTCTGCACAGAAAAAGGGATGTCCTTGGAGCTGAGCTCTAGCAAGGTGAACAACAGCTTCAGTGAGCATTAGAAATACCATGTCAGCTGGGAATTAAGAGTGGGCAGGACAAAGCAAAAAGGAAAGATTTACGCAAACAGAAGTAGGGATAAGAGAAATAAAGAGGAGATCATGGCTCTGCTCATGCACATCACAGCTCTGCAAGCTGCCTGATGTCACCCAGCCCCACTGTACAATGCCTACAGCACTGGCTGCGGCCAACACGCCTTTACTTTTGACACAACTTCCAGCACCATGCATGGGGACAAGTGAGGACACCAGAGGGTTTTGTAGCCCATGCAGGGCTCAGGACACTTACAAGTGCCATGATAACCTGTAATTGTTTCCCCTTCAGTGTGGAAGGCTGGATGTCCCACAATGTCACAGCTTTCCCTAAACACTTTTTCCTAAGCTTCCCAATTTTCACCTTCTCTTAAGAAATTACAGGTGCAGACCTGCCTCACATTAAGGGTTACATATTCAGGATCCACACAGCACTACTAAAACACCATATGTAATTAAAGAAGAGGAGGCTGTTGCAGTCACTTAAAGTTTACTGTGAATATTGAGCTGGGATGATGACAGGTCTCAGACATGATTACAGGATCACGAGAGGAGGTGTTTGAGGAGTTCTGGGGGACTTGAACTCAGTTTAATGGGTCTGAATGAGCGAGCTCATCTCTCACTGCCAACATAAAACCATCTCAGTGGGATAAGGCGTGGGCACGATGATCCTGGAGGAAAGCAAAACCACTGTGATGTGGTCAGAAAATTAGATGCAAATAGAGACTACTTTTTTGCCTCTCTAGCCCTTTTCTAGGGCTTCTTCTTGATCTTGTCCAACAGTTCCTCTTAGAGGGGTCACATCTAGGGAATGGCCAGCTGTTGCCAAAATTTCCTCCTCCAGTAGCTCCTTCTGAACAGAGACCATGGCATCTTGTACCTGCTGAGTCCAGGCTCTGGTACAACTGGCACCTTCATGATCCCTCTTCCTGGTGTTCTCTTCTGGGGCTTGAGTCACCTCAGTGTTACCTCCACAGAAATCTCCTGTCCTGTTGGCAAAACCTCTTTCCACATTGACCATATGGACTTTCCTTCCAACCCTCTTCTTCTTCTTTTTCCTGATCTTGTTCTGGAAGAAGAGGCAGGTGAAGGCCTGCTTGAAACGCTTGCGGAAATGCTTGGAGATGAGGGCGTAGACAATGGGGTTGAGGCAGGAGTTGGTGTAGGAAAGGCAGTGGGAAGCCAGGCGGAAAGCGTAAGTGGCCCGGTTGAAGGGAAAGTGGCCAAACCAGAAGCAGAGGATGACCAGGTGGTGGGGGAGCCAGCAGAGGCAGAACAGGATGGCCACTGTGACAATCATCTTGGTGACCTTACGCTTGGCTTTCCGAGACTCTGAGATTCTTTCTATGGGATCTACAGAAGTCCACAAGAACTTGATGGTCCTAGAGTATGCCAGGCTCACCACGGTCACGGGCAGCAGGTATCCAAACACAAACGTGAGGATGTCCAGAACCTTTCGGCGCTGGTCCTCCCAGACGGGGACACAGATGGGCACACCATGGTAATGGATTATCTGGTAGTAACTGAGGTAAGGCCCTGCGAAGAGCATCGACAGGGACCAGATTACCACAATGGCCACTCCTGCATTTCGGGATGTGCGGAGGTCCCGGGACTTCAGTGGATAGCGAATGGCCAAGTACCTGGCAAGGAGGGGAGGGAGAAGGAGAGACAAAACACAACATGGGTGAGATGAGGTATTCCTCCTGCCCTGTGGAGCTCCCATCTGTGTACCCCTTCCCATGCAGCCACCCATCTCTTCCCTCCCAAATCTTTCGGGAGTGAGGGTTACAGTGAATTCACAAAAATGTCAGGGCCATTCCAACAGTGGGCCTGGGATCTCTATCATCCACTCTGCTGTGCTAGCTCAGGAAGGGCAAGCAGTGTACATTTTGAACCAGGTAAGAGAAGGATAGGAGCAGGACTCCCCCGTTCCTTCTGAGTTGTGTTGCTGCCCTGGAGGTTTTGCTGTTCTTGCTTATGCAAGGTGGACTCCCCTCTTTCCCAAGTGAGCACTGGGTAATTAGGCTGAGAGCTTGGCTTGGTAGAGGGTGGGGGCATGGGGAGCTGGGGAGACTGGCTCTGCTGGCCCTACCTCTGGGGAGACCCGACCTGCTTCTTACAGGACACCCAACAGGGCAAGTAGTGGCCTTTCTCCACCCTTAGCTCAAGAATGGCAAACACAGTGTCCCTGAGCTGCAGAACTCAAAGGGAAGGGGACACTTACCTGTCAACAGAGACAGCAGCCAGGGTAAAGCTGCTGGCATACATGGTGAGGTAGATGAGGAAATGCACAGCCTTGCAGGCAAAGGCCCCAAAGAGCCACCCATCCAGGGTGTAAATGGTGGCCTGGAAGGGGACGCAGCAGATGATGAAGCACAGGTCAGCCACAGCTAGGTTGAGGATGAAGAGGTTGGTGGTGGAGTACTTGACTTGGCCATTCCACAGCAGCACAGCCAGCACCAGCCCATTTCCCACAGTACCCACAAGGAAGATGAGGGAGAAGATGATGGGCACAATAATCCCTGCTGCTCGTAGCTCCGGGCTGTCAGAAGAGATGTTCAATCCCCCTGGCATCTTCCTGTCAGACTGCAGGGACCTGCATTGGGAGAAAGTGATAATAAGCCCCGGGGTGCCTGACCCCAGCCTTTGACAGTCATGTTTCTCCCAGAGATGCCAATCCCAACCAGCTGGTTGAATGATGCCACCAAGAACTCGTGACAGGGAGAACATCTCCCGTGCTCCTAGCACCCCGAGGGATCCCTCCTGCCCTGCCACCTGGCCTCACCCACTTTCCTCCTACATTCCCAAATCTGCTAAACCCCTAGGGATTGCTTGCTTTGGCAAGTGTAAACCCTGGCTGGTGTCCAACAGGGTCTGGCCACAGGGCCGTGGGGTAGGAGGCTCCCATGGGCTGTAAGTGGTGCCAGCACACTCAGCCCAGGGCTGTGCCACCTCCCCCAGCAGGGACCCAATGCCTGGATCATATCCCACAGCAGCAGCACCCCAACACATTCCCACCCCAAGGGAACTCCTTAAGCTGGGACCCCCTCCACCCTGGAGCTGGCTGCTCCTTGCTCCCCATGCAGTAGTTATGCTCCACAGAGGACAGGCAACCAAATGCACCTTTTCCTGATGCTCAGAGGGGATCAAGGGCTGGATGGTGGCAGGTAGGTGAGGATGGGGAGGAGACCCTGGAGCCACCTGAAATACAACATGATGATCACTGTGAAGAAGCCTGTTATTATCACAGCTCAAGGTATTGTGATTTGCTGCAAAACTTCCTGCAGCCCTGAGTAACACTGTGCTCAGACAGAGAACACGAACAGCCTATCTCTGAATAAGCCTTCTCCTTGTTATGCTATCATTAGAACAAATTGTCTGTCTCTGAGCAAAAACAGAGAAGGAAAGACACTGTTATCTAGCTGCTGTTGACAAGCAATTAACTCGGCTTTGGGTCATGCAAGCTCCTTCACTCCGTGCTCCCCCATCCCTCAGCTCATGCCACTTCTGCTTCCCAGCTTCTTTGTGTACCACACCAAGAGACTGTCCCTGCCTCTCTGTGTCTTGGGTCCCCTCTGTCCTACTGATAGCTACCCTCCAGCTTATCCATCTGGCCCCATGGGATCTCCTAGCTGAAGCAGAGGAGCCCGGTCTCTTCTGGGCACGCAAAATGCACCAGGGTGTCTCTGCTCAGGGAGCCTGAGGCCACCTTTCAGCTTTGGAAGCCAGCACTCACCTTTTTGAGGAAGGGCCTGCAGCTTTGCCACTCGCTTAGGGGGAGACCTCCAGTCCAGCCCACGCAGTGGTAGCGGGAGGATGCAGAGCACAGAAGAGTTTATCTGGGCAGCTCGGTCATCCCATCACTCCTGCCTGGTGCTCCGCTGCCTCCCCCTGCCCGCCACCAGCTCTGCTCCCTCTTCTCCTGGAGCTCCTCTCCTCTCTCTCTGACTCCCCCTTTTCCCTCCCTCTGCCCTTGCTGCTGATCCATAGTTCTCTGTTGTTTTTTTTCCCCTCTCCCTGAGGTTGGGTTTGAAGTTAACTCCTCTCTGCCCAGCTTTCCTGCAGGCTCAGCTGCTCCCTGCTCCTCCTGCTGAGAAGGGGGTGGCAGAGAGAAAGCTCACTACTCTCTGATGGAAAAGGGAGGATGAAAGGGTCCCTTGGACCTCAGCAGCCACCTCTCAATTCTGGGTGTTCAGAACGTGTTTTCCAACACCTCCAGGGAGCGTAAATACCCCATAACTGTGAGGCTTATTTCTGCCTGGTCCCTCAAATATAGGGTCCTAAACCCTCTGCAGGATGAGCAATTAATTGCTGCTACTAGACGTCATTAATTAATTGTTAGTAGCACTGAGCAGATTTAGCCTCTCCCACAATGTCTGACCCAGGGAAGGAGGAGAAAGGCGGTTTTGGATTCCATCCAGTCCAGGTCTCCACTCCACCAGTACTACAGTATGGGAGGGAGGACAAAACCTCCACGATGGCCACCTCCAGAGGTCCAGCTCCATCACAGCTGCCTGGAGACACACGGGGGCTGGCTGATGTGCCAGGAGAGGACAGTGACATGCAGCCCTACTGCCATGCCCATCCTGGCGACAGGACCTGTGCCCGGAGGACTTCCAGCTGCACTGAGCGCAGCTTGGTGGTCCTTTCTCAGCCAGACTCAAAGGCCACCAGCTTCCCTTCACTGGGAAGGTTGCGGGTACCTCTTCCAATGACGGTGCAGGATGTGGAAAGGAGGCGCTGGCCCCTTCCCCTACACAGCAGCCCAGATTATCCCCATTGGCTCCGTGTCAGGAGGGACCATGCGGCTTCTCCCCCCCACCTGCCCCTCTGGTGGGAAGGAGCGAGGTGTCCCCGCCAGCTCCCTATCAGCAGGGAAAGTAAGCAGGGAAAAGGGGAAGGCCATGCCTCGGGACGCGGTGATAACCCAGGGGATGCGGCAGAGTGCGAGCCGGCAGCCGGGCACAGCCTGTCACAGAGCTGCTGGCCATGGAGGGGCCGCACCGCAGCCGCCTGCTCCTGCTCCTCTGCCTGCTCCCGGCACCGGCCGTGCCAGGCCCACCGCCGCCTCGGGAGCCGCCGGCCAGCACGGCGGACCCCGCGGCGCAGCTGCTGCGGGGCCAGCCCTGGCTGCCGGCGCGGCCCTACGGCCTGTCGCTGTCCCCCGAGGATTACCGCTACGCGCCCCAGCCCCGGCACCTGCGCCCCGGGCGGCTGCGCCGGCTGCTGGGCCCGGCCTTCGACCCCTTCTGGATGGCGACCGAGGAGCCCCGCGGCCGCAACGGGAGCACCCTCGAGGAGAACCTGGAGTCCGTGAGCAGGGAGCTGGCCGAGGGCGCCGGGCGGTATCGCCGCAAGCTGTGGCGAGAGGCGGAGGGGCTGGAGCTGCCCGCCCTGCTGCCCCCCGGCCCGGCGCTGCCCCCAGGGCTGGCGGCGGCTGCGGCCCGCCGCCTGCGGCAGTGGCTGGTGGAACGGGCCGCCTGCCGCCTCACCTCCGCCTGGGTGGACCTGGGGCCCGTCTTCTGGCCGCGCTGGGTGCGCCACACCACGTGCGAGAGCGGGCCCGCCGGCTGCTCCTGGCCCCCCGGCATGGCCTGCCGGCCCGCGCAGCTCAGCCGCATCAAGCTGCTGGCCTGGCACTGCTGGGGCCCGCAGCAGCCCGGGCCCCCGAGCTGCACCTGGCGCCACATCCCCTACCCCGTCGTGGCCGCCTGCAAGTGCTCCTGCCGCTGAGGGGGGCTCGGAGGTACCCCCCGGTGCCTGGTCCTGCAGCCAAAAGGCCTGAAGAGGCAAACATCGGCCTGGACCCACCCTCGGAGCGGGGGGAAGCCCCCCGAAAAAGAAATAAACCTCCAGGAAGGAAGTGGGGATGGCTGCGGTCCTTGCTGTGTCTCGCCAAAACCCCTGGGTGGTGGCTGCGGCTGCTTTGGCCCTCATCCACCAGCGGCATCAGCACCAGCGGAGGCCCTTGTGCAGCATCTATCTCCAGCAAAGGATGAGGGATGGAGAAATTATGGCACTGAAGGGCAGGTTCAGACCCCCTCTGCACCAGCCCCAGACAGCTCAGTCCAAGCTGCGGCATCCCTGCCTGCCCGGCTGGGCTGCAGGCAGGGAGCCAGGGCAAGGGAATTCCAGCAAAAGGTAGAGGTGGGTCACTGCTCAGGGTGGAAACAGCAATGTGGAGAGGGCTGCAGTCAATCAGTGGGCAGTGGGGTGTTTTGGGACTGCAGTAAGGCAGCCTAGTGACAGTAGATGTGGGAGGTGGGCCATGACCCAGGGCTGGGAGCATTTGTGGGGCTAGGTGTACATGAAAATGGGATGGAATAGGATCCCCCCCACTATGCCACACTGCAGAGGGTGACGGCTCCAGACTCAGGACTGCCTGAGCAGCACACAGGGTGTGGGGTAGGTCAGGGAGCCTGGGGTGGGAACTGCATCCTCAAAAAGCGGCACCTGCCTCTATATTTCACTCAGCAAAACAATCCTCTGCTTTCTGGGCTGAAAGCTGCCTAGAGCTGTAGATCAGACCTAGGCTGGAAGGCCTTGAAGCAATAACGAGCAGGATGTGCCTCAATTCAGTATTAACACGATGCCTCCAAGTCAATGCGTACGGCATTATTCATTACCAGTGTGCCATCATCTGACCCTCCTGCCTTCCTGGCATTCCAGCAGCACACAGTCTGCTCCCCAGACAGCTCCACAGCCTGCTGCTGAGCTTGGCCTTGAAGCAGGCAGAGTGCAGGGAGCTGGCTGCTGAGGCACCCGGGAGATACGGGGGTGAGAGGGAGGTCAGTGTGTCTGCTGAAGAGCAGAAGGGCGAGCCCACACGTGCATGCAAAAACAACTGTGAGCATCACAGGAGGGAGGCTGCTCTTGCTGCTCTGGCCTGCAGCTGAGCAGAGAGACATCCGTGGGGCTGCTCTGCCAATGAGGAGGACCTGAAAGCTGGAGCAGGGTTAAACTGCTTGGGTTGTGTGCCCTGAGTGGAGCAGAGGCATCAGCAGGGATGCCTGCAGAGAGGGAGACCAGGGCTGGGGACCAGCAGGACAGGAATCCGAGGGAGGGAGGGTGGTACAGGTGTGCAATGGAGGTGTGCAGGCAGGGGGAGCAAGGGGTGCACATGCACTGGGCTCAAACCAGCAGTGATTCAGTTTAGGGCCTCAAACTTCCCCGAGCCCATCTGGCTGAACTTTCATCTCTTCCAGGTTGCACAAGGAGCTTGAGAGCAATCTCCCTGCCTTCCCCATGCCAAAATACTGCCTGTTGAAAAGGGTTTGCAGCACTGTGAGGGCCTGGTGCCACAGAAAGGGAACTCCATACCGTAGTTTATCAGCAGGCTGAGCTCAAGGCCTGTGGGAATGGAAAATTAAACAAAATCAGCACACAGTTACACTACCAGCTGTTCTAAAAGGGTCTGGCTGCAGTGCCATTGAACCTACAAGACACATTTCTCCCCTGTCCTTTGCATCCTTGTAAAGCCCTACAATCCTGGATAAACACCTGTATTCTTCTGCAGTTGCTCTGGCTCAGATCAGACATTATTGCCCTGTAGTTTGCTCCCTGACAGCCTAGTGACACATAAGGATTTCAGAGCAGGTCTTTGCTGATACAACCCATTGCTCCAGCACTCAGGCACACTCCACTCCAGCTAGAATCTCTCCCCGGCTGCAGCTACTCATTCAGCACATAGGCAGCTGGCCAGACACACAATTTCTGATCTGGAACAAAACTGATGCAAACAAAGCAATCCTAAGAGATGCCCAGGCCCCACTTGTGCCTTTTTGAACGCTGAAACACTACACCACAGCTTGGAGGAACAAATCCAGAGATTCCTGCCATATGGAAGAAAATTAAAGGTTTCTGTCACCTGCTCTGTCCCTGGCCTTGGCCTCAGTCAGATGCAGATTCTCTCACCATGCTGCTGACCTCTGCCACCTCAGCTTGCTTACTGCCTGATGGCCTCTCTGGGCCAAGAGATCTTTCCCAGGGCAGGTTTGGGACCACTGAAGCATCTGGCAAAGCCTTGTAGCTGGGGACCAAGCAAACCTCACATCTAACCCCTGAGAGTGAGAAAGAGACAAAGGAGCACCAGAGCTTTGGTGGGCCCATGTCCTCTTCCCCTAACCAGCTGCCAGTGGCACAGGTTGCAAAGGGCTTGGGAAACACCCCTGCCTCAGTGGGGAATTGCAACAGTCAGATCTGCCAGGCTGATGCTGCTGGAGCCACAGGACAGCATGGAAGCAGGCAACATCAGCAACGCTGTTATTTCCATCAGCAGGAGACAACAGGAACTGCAGCGCTTCAGCATCTGGACTGAGGCTTCAGGGAAGGCACAGCAGAGTGTCTGCTCACAGCATGAGATGATGGGGATGGGGTGCAGCTCCTGGATGAGGAAATAGGAGGCAGACAAATATCCGCTGCTCCGCAGGACACCTTTAATGACACTTTTAAGTGCTGGTTGCCAGTGCTACTGCCAGCACGCTGCAACAGCCAGCTGGCTGACTCATGTGACGCAGGCTGTGACGCCCTGAGGAACGGCCCTGCTTTTGGCAGCGTGCTGCTCAGGCCTTTCTCCCCATCAGAGGCACTTGGTTGTGGGCAGGGACGGTGCTGAAGAGGCGTTTTCTGGCCCCTCAAGGCAGCGCTCCGTGCTTCCGTCCCACCTGGGTGAAGGCCTCCACGCAGCGGTCGATGTCCTCGTCGCTGTGCACGGCCGAGATCTGCACCCGGATGCGCGCCTTCCCCTTGGGGACCACGGGGTAGCTGAAGCCAATGACGTAAATGCCTGGGGAGGAAAGGCAGAGTCACAGCTGGCTGGGATGGAGGCAGGCTGAGCTGTACTGGGTGACAGAAAGGCTCCCCTCCCAATAACCACTTCCAGCCTTCCGGGTTTTCAAGTGCCAGCAGCTCCCAAGCATGGAAATGAGGTTAAGGGCCAACAATGGGGATGGAGTCCAGCACAGCAGGACAAGAGCATTAATGTAAATCCCCTCCCTAACAGAGAAAGAAGGTGCAGCCAGCAACATTTGGGGGAGACCATGAGGACATTTGCAGCTGGAGGGTGGAGGAGTACTGGATTTCATGCAGGAACATCCTCTGAAGGAGGGCTTGTGGTGGCACCACCACCAACTGTCCCTTCCCTCAGGGAATGTGTCTGCATACTGAGCTCCCTCCCTGGATCACCTCTGTTGAGCATGTCCTCTGCCATCACTGATGCCAGCCGAGCGTCCCCCAGCATGACTGGACAGATGGGGTGGTCTTTCCCCGAGATGGTGAAGCCAGCCGCCGTCATCTTACTTCTGAACCTGGTGAAGGGAACAGCAGGATGAGTAAAAACCTCAACAACCCTGTCCTTGGAGACCACTGCCTTTCTTTCCCCTGGGAGCCCTGCCCACTGAGAACTGGGTATGGTTTGCTCCACTGTTCATCTTCTGTGCAGGAAAGAGATCTCTGCTCTTGGAGTGACCTCCTACTGTGTCCTGCTCAGCATAATGGGACTGCAGATCCTCGAGTGGACAATGTGCCCCAACTCACAGAGATCCAGATGTGACACATCTACCTGACACAGACAGGCACATCCTCCAGCTTTCCCTGAGCCCTGATTTGCCAACTGTCCTCACAGTTATCACTGGGAAAGGAGGGGTGAATAAATCACAGACAACTCACTCCTAACAAAGCTGCCCCTGCTCCCACCCCAATATGGCCCCTCACCGTTGGGTTTTGGCAGCCATGGACTGTGCAATGGCATTGCTCTCCATGAGCAGGTCCAGGGCCTTGGATGCACAGCCCACCACGGCAGGGGGCAGGCTGTTGGAGAAGAGGTACGGGCGGGAACGCTGGCGGAGCAAATCGATGAGGGGTTTGGGACCTGTGGTGTACCCGCCTGCAGACAGAGGAGAGAGAATTGGACAAGGGGTGACCTGTTTAGAGTGAGGCTTCTTGATAAAGCCAACCTGGCACCTATAGCAGGAATGTGGGTACAAACCAGGTCTAAAAATCATAGCTGATGCTTTTGATCAAGAGCTTCCACTTGACCCCAAAGGCAAATGCATACAAAAGATGGCAGTGTAAGGGGCACATGGCAGGATCTCCCTTAATCCTGCAGCAACATCACAAACCAAGCCTTATGCCACCAGTGGAAAGGGATAACATGCATTTGTTACTTTATCAATCAGGCAGAGGAAGGAAAAGTAAGACCGATGCTATAGAGCTCTTTAGGGCATGCAGGATGCTGGACAGGAAAATGCCTTCACCTGCAGCTCCTCCAAGAGCTTTTCCTAGGGTAGAATTGATGATGGTGACTTTGTCCATCACTCCCAGGAGCTCATCAGTACCCCTGTAGAAAAAGGAACATCACATTATCAGCTCTGCCAGCATGCACCAGGGAAGCTGCCAGATACCTCAAGGAAAACAAACACTATCAGCCAGGTCTCTGGCATCCCTCCTTCTAGGCAAGGAGGAATAGCCCCTTGAGATAGTTCAACCCAAGTGTTGACCTTTCTCTCCTGCAGAAATCCTAAGCTGGGACCTCACCAAGTAAGAGCATGTGTTCTTCATCCCTTAGAGATGGGAAAATGCTCAAACTTCCCACACAGAAGTTTAACAGTCCAAACAAAGCACCTGCCAGGAGAGGTGGTGCCCAGATGAGATGGTCACACCATTTGCTACACACTGAGAAGCAGCTGTCACTTGGGGATGGATCACTGCTGAAGTATCTCCTTTCAATCCAAAGGTGAGGTGCAAAGCCTTCAAGGAGTGCCCACACAAAAACACGTCGGCCATCAGCACCTTTGTCCTTGCTTCAGAATTAGGGTAGGAGGAAGAAACAGGGCTGAGGCAGCCACTTACCGCCCGTTGGGCCCCAGGAACCCTGTGGCGTGGCATTCATCAATGAAGACCAGGGCATCGTACTTCTGGGCCAGCTGGCAGATTTCCCTCAGGGGCGCGATGTCACCGTCCATGGAGAAGGCACCGTCAGTGGCCACCAGCCGCAGTCGATGCTTCTGTTGGAGGGAAAAAGGCAGGAGTGAAGATGTCATCCTGAGGAGAGGGGCTGGCAAAGGGACACACTCAAACCCTGGTATGGAGAGGATGTACCTAACTGAGACGGAAGGGACTGGCATCACAACCAGCTGCTTTGCCACCTTGCCTATCCATGCCAATTGGCAAAAACAATGCCTGTTGCATGGGAAAGGGCAGAGCTCACCCTCCAGGACTGGTTACAGGCAGCCAGGCTAAGCAAACGCCCTGGCCTTGAGGTGGGAGCAGAGCTCCCTACCTGTGCTTCCTTCAGCTTGGCCTCCAGGTCCTGCATGTCCATGTGCTTGTAGCGGTACTTGTTGGCCTTGCACAGGCGGATCCCATCGATGATGGAAGCGTGGTTCAGCTCATCTGACAGCACTGCATCCTCTGGGGTCAGCAGGGCCTGGCCGTGCCAAACAGAAAGGAGCATCCTTTGCTCTGGATGCCACCTCACCAAGATCCCCCAGCCTCCCTCAGCACAGAAAACAAGGCTGTGATTGATTCCAGCTGCCACGTCTCTCCTGACACTAAACTTTATATTTCCTTCCTAGTCACCTTATCCGCTGATTTCTTTATGCCAGGCTCTTGCTTTTGGCTTCTGAGCTCAAAATCTCCCTCATCCTTTTCTAACATGTGAGATCACCCCTGTCCCTCACCTACACTTTAAGGGTGCAGAAATGGGAGCCCTCCCCAAGAGCTGGAGCTGGCTGCAGACAGCAGAGGTGAGGGTGGTTATATGCCTCTGGATGGCTTCCCTGGTGCAAGGGCCCCAAGTCTGGGCTCTTCATCACCAGCCACTGCCATCTTTTCTGGTACATAGAGCTCACAGCAGCCTCTAGAAGGCACGGCAGCCACATTGCTGTCACCTCCCTCCTCCATGCACAACACAAGGGAAGCCTCATGAACCTCAAAGATACCAGCGTTGGCATCAAAGCAGCTGGCATAGAGAATGGCATCTTCCCGCTGGTGGAAGCGTGCGATCTTCTCCTCCAGGTCCTTGTGTATGCTCTAAAGAGAAGAGAGGAGCAGGAGTCAACAGTGGGGCAGCACAAGTTCTTGCTTGCCCAGTGCTGTTAAATGCTGACTTGAAAGGGAAGGAGACAGCCAGGTTTTATCCAGAAAAGGTGTGTGTGCGTGGGAGAAGTTGCTTGTGTTCAGCAAATGCAGCCCTAAAGTATGATTATGGGTTTGGATGCCAAAGCTCGGCAGGGAGACTCCAAGCTCCCCCTGCACAAGGGAGAAGCTCTGCTTGTTCTCTGCACTTAACCAGACAGGACTCAAAAAAGGCTCCAGCAGGGATAAACTGGGCTGGGCTGATGGAGCCACTTCAAGTCAGGTTCACTGTAATTTTGATCAGAAAGGGAGAGAAAAAGACATTTATTTTCTGAATTCAGAGGGTGTTCAGTTTCTTTGCTCTCAGGTGTTGTAATGGTTTAAATTGGCCTATTTCCAGACGCTTGGCTAGTGGGGATTTGGCAGGCTCCTTTTCTCACCGGGCTACGTGTAAGTTAGCGCTGTGCACGCATGCCGAGCGGGAGTGCCGAGAGGGGAGCCTACGTGGACACCCTGAAAAAGCCCCGGGGAAGGGATGCTGCCCAGTACCTGGGTACCGCAGATGAAGCGCACGGAGCTCAGCCCGGCGCCGAACTTCTCCAGGGCCTCCACAGCGGCACGGATCACCTCGGGGTGGCTGGAGAGGCCCAGGTAGTTATTGGCGCAGAAGTTGATGATCCCTGCGGGAACAGAGAGAGAGAAGCGGGGGCATGGCGCCGAAGGAAGGGACGGGAGCTCTCCTCGCCGCCGCACGCACCGGCGCCGCCGCCCGCCAAGTGGAGATGGGGACCCTGCCGGGAGGCGATGACGCGCTCGCTCTTCCAGGTGCCGGCCCCGCGGATCTCCTCCAGCTCGCTCTCCAGCCGCCGCCGGAGCTGCGCCGCCGCCGCGCCCGACGCGGCCCGGGGAGCCCCGGCCCCGGCCCCGCGCA